CATTGGATTCGATCAGAAGCACGACGCTTTAAGATGTTTGTAGCTCACCGACTAGGTGAAATCCAGGAGTTATCAAACACTTCGGAGTGGAGGTACGTTGAATCCAAATCAAACGTCGCTGATGAAGCTACGAAATATTTTACTTTTCCTCAAAAAGTAGGTGGCTTAATGGTCCATTGTTTTTGTTAGAAAATTCAGAAAACTGGCCTTTGGAAAACAATGGCAAGATAAATGTTGAAGAAACCGAAGAACGGAAAGAATTTACGTTTCTGCTTGCAAACTAGAGATAAGTTCATTTTCCCTAATCCAAAAAGATTTTCAAAATGGTTAACACTTTTAAGGTCTACCGCATGGTTACCAAAATATTTTTGTAATTGCAAAAACAAGGAGCATAGAATAGATCATAAACTCACTTGTGAAGAGATTAAGAATGCTGAAACATTATTGCTAAGAAAGGTGCAAGAGGACTATTTTTCAGAAGAAATTTGTTTTCTTTTACAAGAAAAAGAGTTGCCTACTAGCTTTAGGTTATATACTTTAAATTATACATATGATAAATTTGAATGTCTAATTCGACTAGGTGGAAGATTAGAAAAATCTACACAATTAGACAGCAACATTAAACATCCAATTGTTTTAAATCCTAAACATGACATAACTACTTTGCTAATTCATCATCATGAAGAGGTGAACTACCATGGACAAGAGACTGTAGTTAATAATTTAAGGCAAAAATATTGGATTCTTCAAATGAGACAAGCAGTCAGGAGCTATTGGGCCAAATGTCAGAAATGTAAGAACAGAACAGCTTTACCTAAGCCACCTTTAATGGAACAGTTGCCACCTTGTCGTCTTGAACCAACAATTCGACCCTTTATAAATACTGAAGTAGATTACTTTGGGCAATTAGAAGTTGTAGTTAAAAGGAGCAGAGAAAAACATTATGGATTTATCTTCACCTGCATGGTAACTCGAGCGATTCACTTAGAAATTGCTCATGATTTAAGTACTGATGGATTCCTGCATGTATTCTGACAATTTGGAGCAAGACGCGGATTTCCTGAAACAGTGTTCAGCGACAATGGTTCAAATTTTAAGGGTGCATAACGAGAGCTATCGGAAAATGTGGCAAAACTGAATCAATCCGAGATCAGTAAGTTTTGTTGGATCAAAGAAATTAAATGGATTTGGAACCCAGCAAATGCCCCAATGGGAGGAGCATGGGAGAGACTTATTCAGAGCGTCAAGAAAATTCTTAAAGAAACTTTAAGAACCAAGACACCTCAAGAACTTGTTTTGAGAACAGCTCTTGCGGAAAATGAAAATATTTTAAATTTAAGACCACTTACACACGTATCACTTTACCCTGACGACCCCGAACCATTAACCCCAAATCATTTCCTAATTGGTCCCGCTTACACTGCAATGCCTTGTATTGATGTTAGTGAGGAGAATATAAATTTGCTGCACAGATGGAAATGTTCACAAAAAATTGCTGACTTATTTTGGAAAAGATGGCTGCAAGAATATCTTCCTTCCATGGTTAAACGAAATAAATGGTTATCAGATAAAAATTTATTCAGCTGGGAGATATATTCCTAATTGTAGATTCCAACAATCCTTTAGGAACCTTTGGCCAAAAGGGAAAGTTGTGAAACTTTATCCAGCCAAGGACGGAAAAGTAAGAGTAGTCGACGTTCTTACTGCTAATGGGAACCAATTACGACGTCCTGTGAACAAATTATGTATTCTGGATTTAAGAAGACAAGAAGAGGAAAACGACCAGACAGAAGGCCAGAAGGCAATTACTAGGGGGGAGATTTGTTACAGATTTATTTTATTTTTTCTGTTTGAATACAGATTTGACACCACTATTATTTTTTGGTTCTTTGACCCGGGATTTATACATTTTATTCTAGGTAAGACTCCAAGAACAATCATGTCTATTTTGACTGGGATTGTTTATAAAATTCGAGTTTTTATTTCAAAAATTTGTAGTTAGACTTTACGTTAGTGTATAAACAATTTTGTTTAATAAAATTTTTGTAAAAAATAATAAATAATTGTTCTTATCTCTTGAAGCATTTTCATACTTTCTTAATTTATTAACATCCTGTACATGTGATCTAAAATTTTCTTATCGTCAACTTATTTTCTCAACAAGCAGAACTTTTTATAAAGAATGACGTAAAATGAATAATAAAGATGTTTTCCTTATTGTGTACCCCCATCCGCAGACACATTAGAGAATGTATAATTACTTTATATTGTATTCCTATTACTTTGGGTTTACAATCAATAAACAATAATTACAAACACATAATCACTGAGTTACTCTGCGTAATTATTTTGAATTAGATTAGCTAAAGCTTGACGCACTTTCTGACCGCGGACACGTACGTTATGCAAAATGATACAAGCTATAATTATATCATTAGCAACAGTATTTCAGTATAGAAAAGAGCCGTTTTAGCTGTCCAATACACTGCTCGATTACTGCCCTTTCCTGCCAAAGTGATACGTAACTCTGACTCTCGAGAGAGAAAAAGCTGCGGCCCAATTATTTTTGTTATTTTTGTTTGCTAGCTCAGCGGAACTTGATTCAGAACCACTATTCAATGCCACTAGTAACAGAAGAACCACGGATGTCAAATTACCGCGATCCTATTTGATTTAATTGAATAAATGCAAAAAAAAAAAGAAATAAAATTAGAAAGATATTTAAGGAAAAAAAAGTTGGGCGCCTAATACCGCCTAGGCCCTCCTATACTTCTTATCACTGCATTTATGCGTCGCGGTATGATTGATATCAAATGTTCAACAAAATCTTGCGGTATATTCTCCCATTCTTCAATAGCGACCTCTATTAGTTGGTTGTGATTAGAAACAGGGGATCTATGACTTCGAATCCTCTTTTTCAGATTGTTCCATATATGTTCTATAGGATTCATATCCGGACTGTTAGGTGGCCACTCTAATAAAGGAATATTAACATCATGTAAGTAACAATAACCTATCTAGCCACGTGGGGACGAGCGTTGTCCTTCATGAATAAAAAAACTGGGCCCAACAAACAGAGTAAAACGCATTACATGTTCGACAATAATGTTGTCTAAGTAATATTGGGCATTCATAGACCTCGTACATATAGGCACCAACTCCGTACGAGCATCGAAGCAAATTCCTCCCCAAAACATTTTAGAGCCACCACCAAAAGGCACTTTAGGAGAGATATTACAGCTGGCAAACCGTTTCCAATCATTGATGATTCAAATCCGATGTAGTCTTGCAAAATTTAATCTCTGAACTTTGTGTTCTCTGGTAAGCAAGGGTTTTTTGGCTGGTCTTCTGGTGCCAAATTCTGCTTCATGTAAACGTCTTCTCACCGTTCGAGACGATATAGCGATATTTCGAACATCTGCTAATTCATTTTTAAGCAGATTGCTGGATACTCTCCTGTCTCTAAGAGCACGTTGTCTCAATTTGATTAGTGCAACGTTTTCGCCCTTGTCCTGGTCTTCGATGGTACGAACCCGTTTCATTATGTCGCCTCACTATGCGACTGATGCTGGAATGATGTCTTCCCCTAACAAACCAGCAACATATCTCATTGAATATCCTTCATTCAGGAGAGTTGATGCTCGCACTACCTCCTGCAGTGACAGATTTCTTTGACGGTTAATTTTTTTTACTTGATATTCTCCCAAATGAACTTCCAAACATGCATGTAATAAAAACCATTACAATCAACAGCTTGCTTCTAACAGAAACTTTGCTTTAATCAGCACTTTTTAAGAAAATGGTTTTAGTCTAAAACGAGGTTTAATACGAATTACTGTCAAAACAAGGTATTATGTGACACTAGCTAGCTTAAAAAACATCTGTCACTGTCAAACAAGGTCCATGGCTTACTTGTCGTACAGTAAGTTATCAATAAATAAAGATTATCGAGCAAAATATAAGTGGTGCGTTAATTTTGTCCAGGAGTTTAAAAGCAAATGCTCGTTTTTATTCATATGGTCCATTGTCCAATGTATTTGAGAACTGGAATCATCGGTTCTGTTTGAACCAAAACAAACTCTTAAAATTAGTATGAAGAAGTCACAAATTTCTATAGCCCACCATTCATATATTTGCGACGTTGCCAGATGGATTTTACTTGAAATTATAACGTATCCGTATATATAAGCTTACATGTGTTGTATACAGCCTCTTACAAAAATACATTTTTTTAGCATTGAGAATCTCGAACTTTTGGTATTCAGAATTAGGCGATAGTTTTATGTACGACTGTCGCGAGTGAACTACCTTAATTATATGGGTATTTTTATTGAATTATAAAAAAAACTAAGTACAATCCAGTCATGACTCAAATACGCAGACGCTTCACTACCCTGACAAGTTCTCCGTGTGCAAACGTTTTTCCTTTTTCCCCACCCCCTCCATTTGTATAAAATCGACAAATATTTTGATGAAGTGAAATCCGTACCTGGAATGACCTATTAACATACGAGCTCTGGTAAAGCAGGAACAGAAATTGAATAGGCTTTTGGTAAGTGAAGAGGTGAGAAATGTCAAACTTAGTCGGACAACTTCCAGAATTTTCTAGTAATGTTTGTTCGCCAGTGTCGTATCGTAGAATAAAAATAATACCAATCATTGTAAATTGCTATCAGCGGATCAGCTAATCGTATATTTTTTATGGGCTAGAAACTATTATTTAAACAAATATTATAAAAATCCCATGATTCGCAATTTATTGAACTATTTACATGCAAAATGCTAAATTGTAATTAGAATCTATAAATAATTTTCTACACTAATGTATTGCTTCCGCTTCGGTTAGCTTCGCAAAAAAAGTTGTCAAATTCTGTGTATGAAGTGGGAAATTAAAAAAACTGTTCAACTTCTGTCTGCGTTCTAATAATAAAGTTTCCCATATGGTGAGCAGTTTCTGAATTTGTATTACTAATATTATAATTTTTATTATTATAAAATACTTACTTTATCGTTTTTCAACTTTTCCACTCTATCTTCAACACTCTCAGATTTTTTAGGCCGTACCAGTATATAAATATTTTTCACGCCAGGACAGGACCTCAGTAATTTTTCCACGATGAGTTTACCTACAAATCCGGTACCGCCTGTCAAAAAGACACTTTTCCCTTTATAAAATTCGGGAATGGTTATGCTTTTCTGTTTAAACATTGTGTCTTGTTTAAAAGTGACTGTGAAAAAAAAATCGTTATTAGACAATAAAAAAATTCGGAATATCAAATTGACTATGACAATCTAAAAATGTGAATAATAAATTATAATTTGAATAAAAAATTGTTGCTCTAATAGATATTAGATGGAAATAACTACCAGATATTGTTTTCCAAATTACTTATGTGACCTATGAGGTTAATAGTGAGGCGCGGAAGTTATACCGGACTTTTATTTGAAACTAGACATTTTCAAAATTTTTGGATTTTTACTGAATGAATACGTCACATAGCCCCTAAACCTCTTTAACCAATAAAATTTGATTAGCATTTCAATTTATGATTGAAAAATATTTATTTATTTATTTATTTATTTATTTATTTATTTAGTAGACGGGAAAAACAAACATTTAGCCAATATTTTTCATACTTTAATAATACAAATATATTTCTGTTTTTTATGAGAATGTAGAATGACAGAAATATCGATATCCTGGTTATACTTTCTATCTTAATGAATAAAGAAACCTTTTCAAATATCGACCTACACTTTATGTAGGTCGGAATTTAACAGTAAAAATATTTAAAATGTTTAATATACGATACTACTACAAAAATATCCAATAGTTTAGAATTTCGAAAGCCAATAGGAAATTCAATAGGGGTTTTAAAATAAATATAAAAAATAAGGACAATACAGAATAAGATAGTTCTTGTTTTAAGCTCTCAAACAATAGTATATTATTTAATGAGCGGTAATGCAGGTCATTACTCACACAAACCCTTGGGCCAGAGGCCCTCGGGTTCGTAAGACGTCGCCCTCAGGGCATCAATATCTATTTATACTCTTGGTACATAAATAACTATTACGTATTTGTACACCTTATTGTTTTAAGTAACTCGTTTTAGTAATACTAAGATCGACATATTATATAGTATGCAAGGGTTTCATAGTACATCAATTTTACGGATTATTTTTTTTTATTACTACAAGAAAAATTTATGTAATTAGAGGTGAAGGCTCAACTCGTACCCGTCTCGAGTCACTTTTTGACAATTTAAATTGGTTTCTTTTGAAAAAAATCTAAAAAGATGTCTTTCCATCGTAAAAGAAATACAAATAAAAATGCTAGAAGGGAACAATATTTAATTTTTACATACAGGAGCATTTATTTTTCTTTAAATAAAAAAAAATACTTTTAACGTAAAAAAATACGTTAAAAGCATTTTCGCCTAGAGGGTGACACCAACAAAATGTATATCCTTTTCTACTATTTTCAAGTGATAAACAGTACGCAAGTGATTTGAATTTATTTTGTTTTATGTCTGTACACTTTGTTATTTTTTACATACAGTAATTTCGCTTAATTATTTTAAATTCACTTTATAATTTATTTATTAAAAAAATATATTCGAAATTAAAAGGTATACAGTGAGATGTGAATTATAAATTTTATATTGCACGAGAGTGTTTTTGTAATGAATACATTTTCGAGTTAAGAATAATTAATTCCAGCTTGTTAACAACTCTTTAATCTGTTAAAGTAATGTATATTTTTTCGAACTAAGTAAATTATCTTTTTTGCTTTCGCGCGTGGCTTTGATCTGTTGCACTCTTTAATACGCGTTGCAAAAGAAGATTTTCTAAAAAGTTTGCCAATGTCTATAGATGAGAAAAAAATGAATGTCACACGAAATCAAGCTGATTGTGTATGAAAGACAAATACGTGTCACTACTTCAAAATTTGAAAACATTTGTAAAAAACGAAACGTCTTCTTTAAAAAATCTCATAAAATCTTTTATTTTTTGCTAAAGCCACCCAATATTGCATGGACAATAAATCCAGAGCAAAATAAGTTTTGAAAATTTATTTTTAAGAAATTCATTTAAAAAAATTAATGAATACTTGTCCACTATATTTAATACTGTTTATTATACATTATTAAACTATTAAAACTGACACAGAGTAAATATTATTTTACAGTGTTGGCTAAAATAATTAAAAAATTACTTCAAGTACTTGTTGCTATAAGAAGCTATTCCAGTTTGGTCGATTTAAAAATTTCTTTTATGGTGTTAATTTTAGCCAAAGCGTTTGTAAATATTGTCTCCGTAGCATATAATTTTGTTGAGTTATTCTTTTAAGGTGTCTTTCTGAAAAATAAGACATTATTAAAGTGAGGTTATGCAATTAAAAGGCAAATAAATTAAAACTTACCGTTTTTAATGATAAAGTTTACTAGTTCCGGTATATCACAGTCCCAATAATGACAAATAAATAATATAAAAAGGCAATGTATAAAAAACACACAGCCACAAAAAAGTAATGACAATGTCCACAGACTGACTCTAAAAATATTATACAATGGCTGTACCGAGAAGAAGGCAGCTAGAGGAAGAACACGACTCGATACGCGCGCGCAAGACTCCAATCAGCCAATGACAATGACGAATGACGATGTAAATGCGCTGCAGGCAGCGCCAAGAACGCTATCGTGGCGCCACATTCAAATATAGCGAAAAAAGTTTAACCTCCACATTACCGACATACTTAAAACGTCCTAAAAACATCCCAACAAAGACTTTTTAAACATGTCCTGATCAGGGCGTCTTAAATCCGTCCGTTTTACGTACGGAAGTTTGGACGAAAGTAAGACATGAACTGCGCGTCTTTAAGATGTAGTGTGCTGTCTAGATATTATTAAATTAAGCTAGTAAGAAAAATTATGCATAAATGAAGATAAATTTATTACTGACCCTTAACTAATACTATTTTGGCACAATAACAAGAAGTTTTAGCGAACAACTCTTTTTTTATATTTCTTAAGTTTTTGTTTAAGGACTTTGTTTTTCTCTTTATTTTTTTCTACCTGTTGTAAAAGTTGTCTTCTAAGTCGTTTTATGCTAGGGGCTTCTAGCATAGATTCCTTAATTGAAGGGCCTGGCTCAGCTTCTAAATGCAATGCTCTTCTTTTTAAGTATGTTTTGAATTATACACAACCCAGCAAACATAAAAGTGTAACATATATGTATCATTTACATGTACTAGTTCCGTGTTACATAACAAAGTAACTTACATGTTACATAATAACTCATGTGATTACTGTGAAAAATGACCTAATTTTGTTATATAGCAGGTTCCTTGTATGTGATGTAATGGGTTAAGTACATGTAAGGAACAGTGTTATATATCGGAAGACATGTAACATTTATATTACCATTGTAACATCTAATATGCTTCATTATTACAGCATATATACATTACTTTTTGCATATAATATTAGTATTATAAATGAAGGTATGTAAATATGTCGTCTAAAAATGTAGGTATTAGTTATACAGTGTGTCTACTTAAGTTGGAACCATATGGAAAACTTTTGTACTATTGGTTTTGTAAAAAAAAGTATACTTGATAAAAAGTTCTGCATGCTCTAAAACTTAAAACGCAACCATCAGATATAATTTTATTAAGCAGTATACGAGGTTTTTCTAAAAATATGAATTTTACTCAAGAGTAAAGTACCTTTACTTTTTACATTACCGAAGACTATTATAAAGTAAAGTTACTTTGAATTAAAAGTTATATTAAAATATGCAATTACAGTCATTTAGCATAAAAATTCAGGTTAGATGATTATTTGCGTTTTACATTATAAATTATTTGTAGTTATAAATTAATTCATCACCAAACCTGAATTTTAATGCTAAACGGCTGTAATTGCATATTTAAATATAACTTTTAATTTAAAAAATTTTACTTAATAGCATTCTTTTGTACCTATTTTAAAACATAAAAGTACTTTATTCTTGGATAAAATTCATATTTTTTGGCAAACCTCGTATACAGCTAAAAAAATTAATATCTGATGGTTGCATTTTAAGTTTTGGACCATACATGACTTTTTATCTAGAATAATTTTTTTCACGTAACCAATAATAAACAAGTTTTCTATACGATTTTTAAGTAGACACACTGTATGACAAATACTTACAAAAAAACGTCGAAAATATTTGGAGGAATAAAGAAAAGTAATTTAAACGTATTTGTTTGGTATATCAATAATTTTATTGAACAACTTCATAACCGAAACCAAAAATGTATTATAGAAATATTGCACACAAATATAATAACCTAAATCACAAAATATCTGCAATTAACGACCATCCACGGCCTCAAAATTCAGCGCCCCATATCAAGCATGACCTGAAAAGAGAACAAAAATTAATATTTACACCTCAAATGTATCATCAGAATACAGTACACACATATAATAACTCAATTTCATTATAAAAACACAACATACCTGCTATTTTCCACAATAAATCCAAAAATGCCACAGGTACCACCATAAAACGCCTATAGCCGCCATTGAACATTGAAACTCTACTAAAAATAATGCACCAGATATACCTACTTACCTAAAAAATATGCGTATTTCAAGGGCCGTTTGGTCAACAGCATTTATTTATATATACGCTATGTAACATTTTGAACGAAATAATTTAGTACAAATTGTTAGTTTAATGTAGATTACACATAGATATATAAATTGATATAATCTTTATGTGAAGAAATTTATATAACGGATATGTAATTTTGTAACATATATTTTAATTATACACATGGTATATAACTATGGTGCTAAGTTTGAACTTAGGTGTTCGGTTCTATAAATAACACATAAAAGCACATACAAGACAGTCTAATTATAATTTATCCTTCTTAGTTATGTAACAGGAGGGAACATGTAACAGAATGGTTTGCTGGGAAGAGGGTTGCTAAATTCTTAAAAGTTCATTACATAATAATGAAAAGTAATTAAAAAAATATATGTTTAATTATGTTTATTAGTATTACGCACCTTCTTCGGCTGCATGTATTTAGAGAATTCAGGAAATATAGTGGAAACTGCTCCATTTAGTAAACGTCCCATAAAAAAAAATGTCTTTCAAAATGTTTTGAACACTATCATTTAGCGTAGGCATCCAATTTGAAATTT